AACCATTTATTCCATGATATTTGAAATTCTGGCAACAATTTTATGATTAATAGTGTCACATGCTTTGATAAATCAATAAAAATTCTCAGTGTGAATTAAGAACTTTCAGTTGAGTCATATTTCTTGTAAGCATGAATAATTTTCTGTGGCTAAAAAGCTGAAAAGTTGTATGTTCTGTTTAATTTCTTCTATAAGTATTGGAATTATTTTTTAATTTCATCTGAAAAAATTCCCATTTTTCAACGTTAACAAGCATCCTAGTACATAAAAAAGAGTTGAGCATTCCTCTTAATTCAAGAGCATTTACAATATATACTTTTTAATTTTCCCGCGTTTCCATCCTGTATTTTCTATAAATACCTCTAAAAAAATGAAATTGGAGGCACTGAATAATGCTTAAAACGTGTTACTAAATTTGTTTTAATAATCAAATTACTAGAATAATCCCTGAGGACTCAGTACGTTCGATGGACGTCTTAAGAATGTCCTATGGACTAGCGACGTCTACAAAAAGTTGTTTAGACGTCTTACGGATATCTGTATCTGCTGGGATGATGACAGTCTATAACGGATTAACTTTTTAAGTGTTTATTTTTTTTTAATATTATTGGATCTTAATTGCATCTATTGTTTTTAAAAATGTATTAAAGAAATGCTTATCTAAAATTTAAAGTTAATTAATGTTAAACTAAGTTTCGGTTTTTTATAATGATTTAAAACACTAAAAACTTAAAAATCAATGAATTTTTATTGAGTCAAAATTTTTAAACCTTTAAATTTTTAAATATTTAAAATTTTTTAAAAATTAATTCACTTGAATGCTATATTATAACTCTTTGCTTTAATAATGTTGATATGACGTTCTTGTAAGCTTCAGGTACATTTTAAACAATGAAATTACCTCAGTAACTGCTAAGCTAATTTTTAGTTAAGCCTGACGAAAAGAAAAGCCTGGTTGCGTTTGTAATCTCTGGATAACAGCACCTTGTTAGTTAATCCTACAGGTTTATGTTGTAAATAACTTGTTTTTGTTCCTCAGTTTTGTCGCTTTTTTGCCAACTTTATCTTAGGGGTCGTCCATAATTTACTTTACGCAAACTTTCACAATAAATAAAATAAAAAAGATCAAAAGTTTTCCCTCGCAGAGTCTTAATTTAAATAAAAAATCAAAAAAGCCTATTAAGTTTAATGGGAATCGCCGCGTAAAAGAGTTTAATATCTCCTACTTCTGTTTTTTAATTATATTTTGCGTTGTGTAATTAATGGACGATCTCTTACCTATATGAACTAAAAAAAAAATTTATAGAGACGTTATAAAGACATTGTGATTTTTGTCTTTGACCAAGTTAGCTAAATCTTCAAGGTAGCAAAGTTTCAAGCATGGTACAAATTATAGTACTAACTTCATTTATTTAAGCATGGTACAAACTATGGCACTAACTTCATTCGTTTAACCATTGTAAAAACAAATTAATTTTACTATAAACTACATTGATAAGCTATCTATATATTTCATTGAAAAATAAAACCATAATGATAAATTTATCAAGTACTAGATAGATATGCACTGTCTCTGGGGTTTTAATACTATATTACCAGAACAAATTTTAATTAATCTATGTTTTTTTGCATCCTTTGAAAGCCAGCAAAATGGTCATTTCTTAATTTAACTGGTGTGCTAGGTGAAGGATTATTTTTATACTATGTTTCTTAATCAATAATTTAAACTTGCAAGTTTGTACTCTTTCTTTGGTTTGTATTAAATTTTTTCAGAAACATAAACACAGTCAAAAACATACAAACTATTAAAAAGGTTGCAACTAATTTTGTTTACTTGTTGCTACAACATACTATTACTTGTGCGTCAAATATTGCGCAATCCACATTTTTATAAATTAATTAAACTAGCGTACGTTTTGGTGACGTCAAATCGTTTGTTTGTCCGAATTTTAATCGCATAACGTTTTGTGTTATCAAGAAATTATATTATTTTTGTGCATTTCTTATCCGAATACCAATCCCATAATGAAATAATTACTCTTTTTTAAATGTTTTTATTTTTAGAATATAAACGGCACGCTATTATCCACATATCTTTAAAATTCTTTCTTTTGGCATCCAATCAATATTGCTGCTTTCTGCAAATAGTTTAAATGTAGTTTTAAAATTACTCATAAGTGTTTTTAATTGCTAATATTATGATGTGTTTATTATTTCCTGTTATAGTTTTTTACTTTTCAAACAAAATAAAAAAGCTATCTGTTTATGCTACGCTTATTATGAATAATATTAAAAAAATGATAATGAATAAAATAGTATATTCAAAATAAAAATGATGAAGGAAATAGTATATTTAAAATATAAATGATAAAGGAAATAGTATATTTAAATTAAAAATTATGATTGAAGTACTATATTAAAATTAAAATTTATGAATGATATAGTGTACATAAAATAAAAAATTGAAATTAAAAAAGTATTTCTACCCAGGACTTTTAATTAGGAGAACGGGGGAAGGCGTACATTATTACCAGTTCTGGTTTTAAAAAAAGACTCAAGGTAAATATGACTTGTTTCTGAATGATAAATGATTTCATGTACCATTCAGTAAATTCCTAAAGAAAATTGTTCATCGATGGTGCATGATTATTATTTTTTGTTGATATTTTCTAGCCTTATGAAAGTCATGTTAACAATACAAACCGCTTCACTAGTCTTGCTAAACAAAGCTGTTGTGCAGAGAAACAAGGGTTTTAGAGTTAAGGGTGGTATTTCCAGAAACGTAGGGAGGATTTAAACTTTGAATTCTCGATTTTGAAACGAGTTTATTTTTGAGAATTCATTAGCATTCCCAAAAGCAAAGTAGCGATAACAAAAGAATCAGGTAAAAGACTTTAAGTTTATTACCTATTATTTAAATCACAAAACAAAAGTTGTTTCACACTCTAAAAAGTTGCTTCACAAATAGCAAACATTCTAAAAAGGAACTTGATTAATGTTAGCTATTGTCGCGAACAGAGAAAAGTTTATAAATCTGATTTTATAAGTTTATTAATCTGATGGCTGGAAGAACTATTGTTTTACATTTTTAAAGAAAATCCGCTTGCTCTATTTTAACCGTGTGGTTATCATATCTTAAATTATCATATCTTAAATTAAAAATGCTAATGAGGCTAAGAGTGTCTCAGAATTCGGTAAAGAATATCAAGATAACTTGTACTGCAAAACCTCGTAAACAACATTATTCCTCTTTTAGAACTCCTTAAGAAGTTGAAAACTCTTTAAATTTGTTCTTTAGATCTGTTTTCTAACATTATTATTGAATTAAGATTATTTGGCACGGCTCCTGTGAGTGCGGCGATAGCTAAACGTTTGTTTAGTAAAATAGCTTGCATTAAAGAGCGGATACATTGGATAGGGGAAGGGGATTGCAATGTGGCTCTCATATATATATATATATATATATATATATATATATATATATATATATATATATATATATATATATATATATATATATATATATATATATATATATAGGGGAAAGTGGGGCAAGATGGGTTTTCATATAACAACTCAACAAAAAATTTTAAATTTGGGTGAAAACGAAACTGTATTTGCATCTTGTATTTTAAAACACCAATTGGTTTTTTTTAAAATTGGAGGTAAAAATTGCATAATAATTCATCTTGCCCCGGTCACGTGACCAGATGACAAATTTATGAACTTTTACTTTACTTTAAATTTTATTCCTTTACTTTCTGTATGAACGCTAGCATTATCTTGCTTAAAATCAAAATTTTCTCCGCCTATGACAGATGCTTCACGTCTTAAAAATTCTTGAGCAGTTAAAAGATAATCCTTAGCCTTCATTTTTGCTTCAATAAAAGGAATTTTTGATTTACCATGATACCCGATCGCACACCAAATCATTACACCACCATCATCACCAACACCCATTTGACGTCGTTGCTGCGTTACTGGTTTTTTACGCAAGTTGTGAAAATAATAATTCCATCTATTCGGCCCATCAAGACAAAATTGTTTTTTGTTAGAAATAAAAAAAACAAATATTACTTGTTACCACTCTTCTTTTCATGTTACGTGGTCCTTTGCAAAAAAAAACAACAAAAAAACAACATAAAAAAACAAATACTACTTGTTGCCATTCTTTTTTTCATGTTACATGGTCCTTTGCAAAAGTTATTCGATCGTTTATGTGATTTGTTGTCAAAGGTGGTTTTCGCTGAAGTTTTTTGCGCGTAAGGTGAAAAGCATTATGAATAACTCGCTGAACTGTACGTAAATTAGTAATCACATCTACTTCTGCAGCAATTTGACGTGCAGTTAATAAAGAATTTGAAGTTTGTCTCAACAACCTTCATTTTATATTAATGGACGTCCGGGACGTTTTTTTATTCCATACATATGAGGACTATTAACGTAGTTTTTAATCACAGTTCGGCTGCGTCCAATAGCTCTAGCCATAGAGCTATTGTAACTAACGGAGTGACTTATTTTTAATAAGTTAGAGAGCACTTTTTTCTCATCTGGACTCAACGGTGTAGCACGATCAATTATTAATTAATTCGTTATTTTATACTTGATAAAAAAAACCTAAACTAAATTTTTGACAGTTCACAAAAGTTTACAGTTAAATAATCGTCTATGGTGTTTACATCAAATAAATATTCTTAATTGCCCTCAACTGCGGTTGGCAAATAAAACGTTTTTGTAAAATTGTCTAATTATTTTGTCGCACTGAAAAAACAGTTTTTTTTATTAAATACGAATTACGTTCAAAATAAATTTGTTAAAATGTTGTTTAGTGTTGTAAGTCCTTTGCTTTCATTTATAAAAAAAAATAGTTTTTAAATATAAATGTTTAGTAGAGTTATATAAATCTTTTTGGGGTGTCTTACCATTTTGTCGCGCAGTGTTTTGGGGTGTCATTATTTTGTCGCGCAGTAGTTGTTAGAAAAGCGTTGTACGACCGCGTTATTAAATACGTTTGTTTTTATTGAAAATGGCGGATAAAGAAGATGTTCACGTGCAAGCTAAATTATATACAAAATTGAAAAAATTTCAAATTCAAGATACTTTGTTATCAATACCAAGCATATCAGGAACTTTAGAATTAAATGCTTTAATAAAAGGACTTCTTCTAAGTGAAGATTCTAATATTTTAGAGTTCGATTTTTTAATAAATGGAGAATATTTTGAAGCTGACAGTCTTGCCTCTTATATAAGCGAAAAAAATATTTCAACAGAATCTGTCATTGAAATTGAGTATATACTAAAACAAAAAGAGCCAAAATTAGAAAAGTCACTGCTACATAACGACTGGGTAAGTTCTATAGATGTTGAAAACGATCTTATTATAACTGGAACTTACGACAGTCTTGTAAATATTTGGAGTAAAAAGAATGGAAAACTTCTATGCGCAGCTGAAAGTCACTCAATGGCAGTAAAACATGTATTGTGGAATAAGCATGAAAATAATGAAATTTCTTTTTTATCTGCTTCTCAGGATCAATCAGTGTTAATATGGATGTATAAACGACTTGAGAGTAAATGTTTTAGCATTCATTCATGTAGAGGTCATGCAGGAAGTGTTGACTGTTTAGCTCTTCATCCTAGAACACACAAATTTGCTAGTGGGTCATGGGACAAAATGATCAAGATATGGGATTCAAAAATAGATTTGCATGCCACTAATGAAGATATCGATGATAGCACAAAAAAATCTAAAAAAAATTCTATGGATAATGCACCCACTATAAGGACTCCTCTTATAACTCTATCTGGTCATAAAGAACCAGTATCATCTTTGCTTTGGATTGATGATAAGCTAGTGAGTGCAGGCTGGGATCACTGCATTCGATTTTGGGATTGTGAGACTGCTACGAACACCTTTACATTTACAGGAAACAAAGTCTATCTAAGTATTTCGTATTCTGCTTCTAGTCACTTACTTGCTTCAGGAAGTACAGATAAATATATTCGTTTGTGGGATCCAAGGGTATCTGATGGAACAGTTGTTAAATCAATGTTATCTTCACATAATGGCTGGATTTCTTCGGTTGAATGGTCTCCGTCTAATGAACATCACCTTGTAAGTGGATCTTATGATAATTCAGTTAAACTTTGGGATATTCGTAGTACAAAAAAATCAATAACAAATGTAGAATCTCATCAAGATAAAGTTATGTGTGTTCGATGGGTTGAAAATGATTTAGTTTTAAGTGGAGGTGCTGATTCTCAAGTGCATATCACAAAGCTTGATTTAAATGAATAAAAATAGTTGATTTTAAAGCTTTTGAAAATTCAATTAATTGTTTTGTTATTATTTTTTTTTTTTAAATTTTCTTTGCTTGGTTCTGAAAACTTTTTTTTTTGTTTTAATTCAACTTAATTAAAAAATATCATTAAAGAATTACTAACATTAAAAAATTATCAAAGTATAAGCAAAAGTAATAAATAATTTGAAAAAAAGTTTATTGCTTTCTAATAATTGTACACACACACACACACACACACACACACACACACACACACACACACACACACACACACACACACACACACATACATGCACACATGCACACACTCACTCACTCACCAACACTTTTTTAGGTTTTTTGCAATATCATTGAATGTATGATATGTGATTTGCTTAATGATACTCAATGTTTAATAATTGCCACAAGAGTTTTCTTACATGCGCCAGAATAACCTTTTAACTTAGAGTCACTTAATAAAAAGAACCTTCATTTTTTTTTAAAGTGGTTAAGACAGAGTATACTTGGTTTAATCCCTATCCTATTTATGTAATTGGTTTGATCAACAAGTTATATATATTTCTTAATCAAAAAAGGATAAACAAGAACCGCCAATGACTAATAATCGATTTAAGCAAGCGTGCTTTAATAATTGATTTATTTTTTAAGTGTTGGCATTTTTATGACTTGTTGTAAACTATGCTATACTTAATATTGTTTGTTCTTGTTCACCATTTTTGTCTTTTAAATATTGAATAGTTTATGAATAATACTTAGAAGTTATTGGGTACATTCTTGTGGTAGAAGTTATTGGGTACATTCTTGTGGTAACAACATAGAAGTTATTGGGTACATTCTTGTGGTAACGCGCGTCTGTATTTTCCTGTGACGTACTAGTAAAAGTTGGTAGATAATTTTCAAAATTCAAGACGATAAAATTTGCTGCGAAAACGTTATTTTTTGAAACTGACAAACTGTTTTTGTAACAGCATATATTTAATACGCGCTGTGTGATTCATGTTCCAGTCTTCAGCAACGCAGGTTTACTTCAATTTTTTGAAGGAGCTAAATACCTAATATATAAGGTAAATTCTCCTCCATTCAAAGATCTACTGTAATTAGTTCATAAATATAATTGTTTCTGTTAAATTGAGTTTTTATACTTAATCGTTTTTTAGATCAAATATATTTCTTTTTTAATGCCTATGATCTCATCAAAAAATATCAATTAATCTGTTAAATATTTGTACCAAGAAACAGCTTAAAATTTTTTTATGATTAGATGTATTTTCTTGGATTATTGATCGCAAAGTGCTGAAAAAAAATCCTGAAAGTTTTTACATCATTACAAATTGTGCGGCCGTGGCGAAGTGGTTAGAGCGCTTGTTTTATAAGGAGGAGATTCAGTTTCGAAACGAGCCTTTGACATATTTTTGCGTCACGGTAAGAAAAGAGGCGTGAACTTTCTGGTTTAATCCACACCTACAGTGCTCTGTGACAGCACAGTTAGGTCTTCTTGGGGCACCTAAATAACAATAAAAATAAATAAAAAATAACAAAAATTGAACAACCAAGTCAATATTTGTAAGTTCAAAAAAAAAAAAAGCTTATTCGAAAGGCTTATATAAATGCGTATATAAATGCTTATAAAATAATATAAATATTGAATAACTAAATTAGAAATTTTATCTAGCAATTTTCTCTTTTAAAATTATCTTTAGTTATTTTTCAGATACCTATAAAGTATATTTGAATACTAAATAAAAAATATCTTTTAATTTGATCTAAAAAATGACTAACTTTACAAACCTTTAGTAAGACTAGGTTCAATTAAACTCGTTAACTCGTAACCTTCATTAACGAGAGTTTTCATAATAAACCAAATAAACCTAAAGTTAAACTAGTTTATTATTCAAAATTTTTATTATTAAAAATCTTTTTTTTCAAAATTTTATAATAAATAATAAATTTTATAGTAAATAAAACTAATATATACTATAAAATTATAGCAAATAGTTTTATATTAAATAATTTTATAGTAAATAATTTTATAGTAAATAATTTTATAGTTAATAAGTTTTTTTGTAAAAATAGCCGAACATTTTAGTTTTTACTACTTTTGTATTTTTAATCTGCATAAATAATAGGGTAGAGCGGACTGGTTGAGCAATTTTTATTAAATCTAATAGATCTCATAAACGGTGTGTCAAATTTAGATAATTTTTTCTCTATTTGAAAGATAATCTAACCTGCTAAAAATTTGGTTAGAAAAAAGCATCTTGATTCTTTTAAAAAGATAATGTCTAGAGTTTGCGAAGCTGCTCAACCTGCACCAACGGGGTAAGTTGAGCAATAGTGTAGGGTAAGTTGAGCAATCAACAAATGAATGAGTATGGCACAAAACCTTTGTGAATCTTTAATAAAAGTTTTTATAAAAGTTATTTCAAAGCTGCTCAACTAACACCTACTAGACTAGATGACATAATAGTTAGGTTTAAAGAGAACAGTAACATAAAAAAATGGGTAGTTTTAATCAAAAGTCTGATAAATTGTTACAACATCAACACTAAAGTAATGTCAGATAAAATAATTTATATGCATCTAAGCAAAAAATAGCAAAACTTTTTTTTTTTTTACATTTTTGGTCAAAAATAGAACTTAACTGCTTTCCAACAATATATTGTTGCACATTGTGTTATCATTCTAATTCCCTAACTTTCATCCATTAGATGTTTTGTCATGTGATACGAAGTTTTTGAGATATTTTAATTGCCCAACTTGCCCCTCTGCTCAACTGGCCCTGCTCTACCCTACTGTTGATAATAATCATGTATGGTAAGTCTTGCAGCAATTTTGAGCAAAATTTGTGATATTAAAAATAAAAAATCATGCATTGCGTGTTTACAATATATTTATTCTCAGAAGCAGATTGTTTTTCTTTTAAAAATGTTAGATTTATTTAATGTAAAAAAAATTAAAACATGAAAAAGCTAAGAAATATTTTAATTGTTGCTTCTATAGCATTCAGCTTGAAATCAACTCCGATTTCTAAGTCATTTGTTTTGGCACACGGTATTCTAGATCCTCTAAGACAAAGAATAGTTGAGCAAAGTGCCTTATGTCATTACAATCGAGTACTTTTCATTTGGTTTTTTCACTTGTTTCTTTGCCAGTCTTTTAACAAGCTTTATGACATTCCTCAATCGCAGTAGAGCTTTTTGTTTTTAAAACTGTGACTTTATCTAAAAGTCACAGTTTTAAAAACAAAAAGCTCTACTACTTTTGTTTTGCGTGGTTTTTAGTTAATTTCATAGATGATAAAAACTGATAAAGCGCTTTATCAATTAGTATAGGTATAGCGAGTCTTATCGGTTCCAAATAAGGTTGGCAACAATAAATTACTAACCATTTCATCTATAGGTGCTTACCATATTATATATTATTGTTATTAAGATGTTCCAGTTTTGGAATGGTTCTTTAAAAATAAATAAATTTTGATCAAAAACCTTTTGTGAAAGCATCAATGGCCTGTGGTTGCGCCTCTGATACTTTACAACTGTGGTTGCGTCTCTGATACGTTACAAAGTTGTTATAACTCATTTAACCATTTTACTACTTTCTCATTCCAATAGTTGTCTTTAAAGTTTTGAGAATTACTGAACCCAAATGTCGCTTATCTTCTGTAGTTATGTTGACCGATTTACCAAAAACTATACCGGCGATCTCTGCTAATAAGGAGAATTTTACATTCAGCCATCATTTTGATTGATAACATAGTAGCCGTATTTACATCGTTCGTCAAAAATGTTTTAGTACTAACTATGTAAGTTTTTAATGCAGCATTATCTGATAACCACACCTGTTTAACTTGTTTGTAATTTACAAATAGGTGTCTATGATTATTGTGGTATTAAAAACGTACCAGGTCATTTCATGAAAATCCCCATGGGATGTGCCTTCTTGAGAGCAATTTCTTGTAACCTTGTAACAAAGAGCCTCGACGGGTGTCTGTGTTTACTGATAAACCAAAATTTCTGGCTATTTTTTTAAATTTTTTTGACAAAATTAATTTTGACTTTTTTGATGTAATTTTGCTGGTTTTACTCACAAAAACATTCCCTTCCCCAATGACTAGTTAAAGACTTTAAAAAAACAATGACATAATACCTTGAAACAATTACCCTAAATGAATCATTTGATCATTCATTAATGATTGTTAATCATGTTAGAATTTCACCAAAAATAACTTTTGAAAGATTACTTTTTGTCAATTAGTTATTGATATGTTATTATTTTAATGTTTGTGGAAAAAATAGAATCGAAAACAAAGGTACGTGTTGTTCTAATTTCTTCATAATGATAAGTTAAATAATTTTTTATCCTTGTAAAAAAAACTGATTAAATTGGATGTTCAAATTGGAATTAATCCACTTTAATCAGTAAATGCAACAATATAAATGACACTCAAATAGATAGATCAACAATGATAAAAAAAAAATTTCAGTCATAAAAATTCAAACTTAAATAAAGCATGTTAGTTTAATTTGTAATTAATGTCTAATTCTAATTAAATTCTTTAAAAATTGCTGATGTTATTTAAGTCGCAGAAAAAGCTGACGTACGGTTGTTCGTAGGATACAACGACGAAAATTTTTTCGGGAGTGTAATTCTGTTTTTTAGTCTGTAAGATTTACAACTTTCAGTGACAAAACAAAGTCCAAATGTTTAGGTGTTTATATATAAATCAAAAAAAAAAAAGATGAAAACGATTACTATGATTAGGGCTTGGCAACAAAAAATTTTCAACATCTCTTTATTCCCAGGCAAATTTTTTTATTTACCAGTACATAACATTCTTATTAGACATAGAAATGTTTTGAGTCTTCTTTATGTCTGAAAGTTTGTGGTAAAGTATTTTTTTTAATTTAATTTTATTATTACAATTATTACAATTCAACAAAATACTTTATAAAACACTACCAAGTCATAGAACATTATGAATGTTTTTACACAAAACACCAAAAAACAACATTAAACCTCTACCATAAAAACAACGCTTTTTAAAAATAACCGCTAAAATTGTCTCTCTGCTTTAGCATTTTAAAAATGCAATATATTAAATACAATCTATGTATCTCTTTATCAATCTTTAACCTCTTTATAAACCTCTATGTCTTTTGCATTCTTATCCTTTTTTTTTCTCAGCTTCTGCATTTTCATCCTTTCCGATTAAGTCCTCTGCATACTCGTATTACTTATGTAAAATTTACATTAGTTTGTAAAATATTTTCTTATTTTCATTTTATGTCTTATCAATGGTATCTGTAAGCAATTTTAATTTTTTTTAATTATTAGTATTAGATAGAAAATAACAATTAAAATCGTATAAGCATATTTAGCAAATAACAATGGATGTTTTTTTTTTTTTTTTAATTGTTAAAGTATTCAATCAAAATCTAACTGTCTTATCGCAGAGCACCGCGGAAAAGCATTTATCACAGAGCACCGCGGAAGAGCATTTAACTGGGAAGTTCACGTCCAAAATAATATATACTTTAGTCGATGACGCATAACCTGGTCTAAAACAAAACTAAACACAGAAAATCTGTTATATATGTTTTTAGTGTGGTTAAAAATGAATTTAACATTTTGCTCACATCTTGATTGTTCAAAACACATCTTGATTGGTCAAAATATTGAAATCTAAAACACACGTTATTTAATAACTTCGACACATCTATATACTTTTCATTAGAAAGTGCGTCTAATGCAAGTTGGTCTTTACACAAAATAGTTAATAACCAAACGTTAATTGAATTTTTCTTCAAAAAGATGCATTATTAATTGCACTGATCTGTTGTTGACAGAAACCTTTATTGATATGACAGCAGAGTCTATTACAATAGCAGAGACTATAACAATGTTTTAATCCCAGTACTTACTGCGCCGAATGACGCGTTATAGTAAATTTTTTGAATAATTTACAAAAGAAGTTGTTTTGAACGGTTTCCTTCGTAAGTGATTGTTTCAAAAAGCTTCTTATGTAAATTACATTTTTTTTGAAAGGCTTCGTTTGTAAGTGACTGTTTTGAAAGACTTCATTTAAAATGAATTGTAATGAAATTTTTTTTGCAAGTTAGTTATATGTAGCAATACGTAAAATATATATTTACAAATCTTACTTTGAATAGAGTAGCATGCTAGATCACTGATCTCGAAATAATATTATTTTGAGAACTATGACGCTAGATAGGTTGATAAAGATGCAAAATATTTTGCAAATACCCTAGGAGCAACCTTAACAAACCCTTATCATTAAGTTATAACATATCGCTCAAAATATTAAAAATATAAACCATGTTATCCAAAAACCAAATCCAAAATCTAAATTTATATTTAACAAATAAACAAAATTTATATTTGCAACAATAACTTAAAAGGTTTTTCTTCATTTTCAATATATGTGATTAAGATGGATGTTTTTCTTGAATAAGAAACTGTAGAAACTTTCTTTTCTAAAAAATCTGCAGGTTTTACTTAAATGTGTTAGAAAGTTTCACTAAACTGCATGTTTTCTTTTTTAGTTACAAAAGTATACTTTTGTTGTACCAACAATAATTGTTATACGATATAAGTGAATTTTGTTAATAAATAAAAATAAAGATAAACCTAGATAAATAAACCTAGATAAATATAGAAAAATAAAAATTGTAAATAAATAGAAAAAATAAAGAATTTTGTTGAAAATTGCAATTAAATGCGTTTATTTTATAAAAACCACCTGGAACATATGATTTTTTTTTTAAAGGTTTCTTATCATTGTCTGAGAATCTTTTTTTTTTTTTTTTTTTACACTTTTAGAAACTTTTTTTCTATTTTAACAGCGTCATTTGATTTTTTTTGTTTCCTCAGTCTATCTTTGGTTTAAAGAGCGTCATTTGACTGCGTTTTATTTCTATTCAAATGTTGCTTTTACATTTATACGTATCACGCAACTAGACAGAACCTTTTTTAAAGTTAATAAATACTATCACTAAACTTGTTTTTCAAACAATTGAAACAAGAATCATCGTTGATGTTAAATCATTGCCAGTGTTTCTGTATTTTTATTTTTATTTATTTTTATTGAATTGTATTTTGATATTTTATAAAATCATTTTTTTCTTTTCCAAAAAAATGATGCTAAAAAAATCTTACGCAATTATGAAAACAATTTGGAATAGTTAAACTTATAAAAAAGAAATTTTGATAAGGATCTAGCAGGGCCGTCTCGTGGGTGGAAAAAAAAACAGACACATCACCTCACCTCCCCCTCCCCGTCCTTTATAATCTCTTCGGGATAGCCCTGGGATCTAGGTGTGCGTTAACCAAGATCTAGTTATACTTTTAATCAGAATCGAGTTTATATATATTTTTTTAGGATCGAATTATTCATTTTGCATTTTTTTTTACCATTATGTAACTTTCAGGCATGCAGCAAATTCTAATCACGTACGTTACAAAGCTATTATTAAAAAAAATGTGTTCAATAAAAATAAGATAATTAATTTTTTTTAAGTTTCACACCCTCCCTACTCCTTAAATAACTCAAGTAATACATATAGATTATTCCCCTACATCTAAAGTAATCTTTGTAAATTTTACTTTTTTTTTTCTCAAAAAAAAAAAATTCTTTTCTTCAAAAATCCATTAAATAATATTCAATGGAATTCTCTTGAATAATGTTACAAAATATGGTATATAATATACAAAACGGTCATCACTATGGTATATAGTATACAAAGTGGTCATCAAGTTTAGGTGCTCTAATACCTATACGCGTAATTTATTGGAGTAAATAATTAGCTTTAATTAGTTTTATCAGTAAAATATTCAGTGTTGGAGGTAGAGATTAAGGGACTCGCCCAATTCTATACTTTTGAATATAAGATTCTATTAAAAATGCCAAGTAGCACTAAATGGTGCTTGGTTTTCAAAAAAAAAATTATTTTATAATAAAATGTTCCGTTATTGTCAGCTTATTTTGTGCGTTGTGTTCTTATGCGCATCAATATCTTATTGAATCATTTCATTTAGATACTCAAATTTTTTTTTTAGCAAGACTAGTCATAAATGCAATAAACTATCCACATGCTAATAAACAACAATGCAAACAGATGTCGCAATTGGAATCTAAAGGTTGTTTTTTCATCGTTTTGAACATTAAAATAGTTATATTAATAAATGTGCAACTGTCCAGTTATTTAATCGATTTAGATGGCAACAAACCTATATCATAATCGAGCTAATGTTTTACTGGTATAGTTTTACCGCACCTTAGTATTTTTTTGTATTGTTATATACTTTATATAAAATTTATCAAATTAATCTTTTTTTAGGAGTAAATAATTTTTTCTTTTATAATATAAGATTTAGTTTGTAGTGTTTTGTATTTTTTTATAAAAGGGGGATATAGACCATTTATATCCTTTGATTAACACAACCATTTCCTTCGTCAACCAAAATATAATCACGCGATCAGCTTTATTCAAATCTTTTAAAACGCGATAATAATCTCTTTAGCTCGTAAAAAAAATTTATTATAAACGTGATCAACGACAAAGTATGATTATATAAAAAAATTTTTAAAGTTGGTGACCAAAATGACGATGATGACAGTGTTTATTACTGTGGCGACTTTTTTCTAATTAATTTAGTTCGCTTTCTCATTTTTTATTATTTTTTTTTTTTTGAAAAAAAAAAAAAATGTAAAGTCAGAAATAAGAAGTAAGCTTGTTTTTAACAATTTTTTTGAGCAGATGTTTATAAACCTTGCAACCTTCTAAAATACAAAAACAACATTATTCTGGATAACGTTATTATGTAATTTGTTTGTGTCTACTAATTAAACATTTCAATTAATTCTCAGAGTGATAAAATCAGTTGATAATCTTTTTCGGCAAAGATTAATCTCTTCCTTTCAAATGATCTTCGGATAGATAAGATTTGAGTCGATAATTGTATTAACAACCAATCTAACAAACCTTCACAGTGTGCATGTAATCATAGTGCGTCAACCTGCTTAAAAAAGGTTTGAATAACTTCATTTTTGGAAAACCTCTCTTCAAATTTCCTTAAAAGGTAGTCATTAAGTAACTAAACTAATTATTATTTTTGTTGTTGTTACTACTATTTCTTTTATTATTAATGTTGCCATTATTACTATTAAAATTATTAATTTATAATTAAGTGTGGTAATAAATGCAGCATTGAAATCAATATTGTAACATGTTTGTGTTATTGTAGCATTTATAGCATATATATGTTACATATTTGTGTGGTAAAAAGCCATCTTGTGAAACATTACTGCATATAAAAGTGTAAAAACACAAACATTTAAAAGGTATTATTACACATATGTGTTGCAAAGGCCAGTGATTTTATACAGTTTTTCTAATTTAAATATTTTACAGAAATTTCTGCTTCCTCTTTCTCAGTGACAGATCCAGAGGGGAGAATGGGGGGGGGGAGGTATACATTCCCCCATCCCTTACGAAAGTCCTAAAATATATTAGAAATGGAGGACCGTTTTTTTAGGAGACGCAAATGTGATACAAGATACAAAAATACTTCAACATATCAAAAAAACATATAAAAAATAATACTAAAATATATTAATGATAATTATTCAAGATAAATATCATAATTAATAATTTTTTTAAAATTATGATGTTTATCTTGAATATCATTAATATACTTTAATACTATTTAAAACTAAAAAAAATATTTTTTTCTATTTAAAAATAATTATTTTTTGATAAAAAGTTAAACAAAGAACCATTTTTGTCAATCATCGACTGTAAATATATTAACAAATAAAAATACAAAAAATTAAAGTTTAAAATTGAAAAAAAAGTGCTGTTTTAGCAGTGTTATATTGCAAATATAAGTAAAATGTAATTAAAACCTGAACTGACAGGCCCAATCAAAACGTTAAGTGCAGAGGTAAACAGGTGGAGGTAGTAGGTTAAATACTATAACCTGCAGTGATTCTTTAGAACGGAAGACCAACAATCATTTACGGTTTGACTATAAATGCAAAATATATTCAGCAGTTGATCTACCTAGGTAGATCAACTGCTGAATATAAGTTGCATTTATAGTCAACTTATATTCAGCAATTAATCTACCTAGGTAGATCAGCTGCTGAATATAAGTTGCATTTATAGTCAAACCGTAAATGGTTGTTGGTCTTCCGTTCTAAAGAATCACTGTGGGTTGTAGTATTTAAATTATAATTACATTTTAATTGCAAAAACCAATGATACTCATTTCCCATATAATGTGCTTATACCCTATTTATACTGACAATAAAACGCGTTTTCATTTAGACGCTTTTTATATAGTTATTGTATATATCAAAAATACGGCAAGATTGTTTTATATGAACACAAACTTTTTATTTTTGCGTGCCTAATACAAGGGAGAACGGGGGAAGGTTGGAATAATATGGAAGGAGAGTTTTACTTTAGATCTATTAAAACGGGGATATATATTTTTTTCTGAATTTTTTTTTTTAGTTTTGAGGTGTTGTTTTTTTGTTGATAACAAGTAAAAATTAATAAACGAGGGAAGAAAGAAAGGAGGAGGGCAGGGGAAGGAGGATCTCAATAAGCTTGGGATAAGTGGAAAAAATTTCTGAAAATTAATAAACGTTCCGTGTATCAATTGCCTGAGTATATATTAACAATTTCACCTTGCAATATCATTGCTATATTGGGCATTATTCACTTTTGTTCTGTAAAGTAAAAGATTAGTTTTGTAAAACTATGGCAGCCAACCAATAAGTCATTTTATAAGCAATTTTAGGATGTGTTTCCCCAACCCCTTCCACCCCATCCCCCCCCCCCCAAAAAAAAAATAAAATAAATAAAGTTGGAACTTGACAAATTTCATTCAGCAGAATTTTAGTTTTAAGCAGTCGGCAGTTCTTAATGAATCGCCCTTGACTGTTATAATTTGATTTAGTAAAAATTCTTTTTTTGATTTCGAACTAGTTAATTGGACTTATAAAATTATTAAATGGGCTCTTTAGACATAAAATCCTTCGAAAGAAACACGCCAAATCATGCAAACAGGTCAATAAAGAGGTTAAAAAAGTAATTCTAAAATTCGAATAAGCAATTGTTCAATCCTCAAAGCATAACCCAAAGTTCACGCCTAATAAATAAAGTTAATTCACGCTTACATAAATAAAATGCTGATAGTATAGGAATTTTAGAGGACGGAAAAGAGAAAAGCACAGTCGAAGAAATTGAAATATGATGAACTTTAAATGACAACTTTTAGTCTGTTTTTGTAATTGAGCCGCAAGGTATAATGTCAGATTTCGAACCTCGCACAGAAGTGAAATATACAACAAAGAAGCAGTTTATAACACGAAATGAAGTACAGAAGAGACTTAAAACTATGGACAAAAACAAGTCGTTGGAAAACAACCGCGTCCATCCACGTCTACTTCAAAGATGTAATGTAGCGTTTTTTACTTCACTTATACTTATTTTTCAAACTTCGTTTACAAAAGAAGAAGTGCCGGACAATTGAAAGCACTCAAATATAATACCAATATTCAAAAAGGAACCCAAACTCAAAGCATTTAACAACAGACCAATATTACTTACTAGTATCTCTGACAAAGCTACGGAATCAAAGATGAACTCCATGCGTGGATTAAAGCATGGCTCTCAGGAAGGCAGCAGAGAATCGTAATTGGAGAACACCTCGAATTGGAAAATTTCTACCAGCGGTGAATCACAGGATTCAGTTTTTTAGACCATTACTATTTGTTCTGTACATCAAAAATTTTCCATTCAAACTTGAACATCAGAGCAAGCTCAATGTTGATGATAATAAAATTGGACCTAGGCGCCGACCCCCGTTCGAACCTGCTTTAAGAAGATATAAATAAAACCGTTAAATGCTCACAGAAATCAATGATGAATTTCAATGTCGAAAAGTGTAAAGTTATGTCTATAGACCAAGAGAAAAAAATATCAACACGAAAATATTTCAAAAAAAAGACAGCCTGCCACTGTACTTAAAGTTACTCATTTAGAAAGAGATCTGTGTTCTAGTTTCGGAAGGCCTTAAACCCAAAACAGAACCATTTTTTTCATAGTTTTTTGAATTAATTATAGTTAAACTACAAACTTCTACTATTGATAGAAGAATAACTCTTTAAAACTAAATAATTTTGACATCAAATCTTTAACTCTGTTATAATGTTGATATCAAATCTTAAACTCTGTTTTAATGTTGATATCAAATCTTAAACTATGTTTTAATGTTGATATCAAATCTTAAACTATGTTTTAATGTTGATATCAAATCTTAAACTATGTTTTAATGTTGATATCAAATCAATATAATTAAAACCAAATTAAAAGTGTGTTAGTTTTTTATCCTAATTTTAAAATTTGCATAATTGTCCAAAGAAACAAGTTAAAGCCTTGTTTAAATAATTTATAAGTTTTCAAAATAATTTTTAGAATCGACTTAAAAGTTTAAAAATTATTTTGTTGAACAGTTTTTATAATTAATTAATAATTAATTACTTTGCAAACAAAAAACCCTCTTTATTTTTTTTTTGCTAACAATATTTTGTATAGTTTTATTTTTTATTAGTATAGTTTTTTAGTTTATTAGTATAGTTTTATTAGTATAGTTTTATTAGTATACCATAATTTTTTTTTTGTCTTATATATCAGAAACCCATAAAAAATTTTCGTTTCATAGAATAAACAAAAAGTAATATATTGAAAGTTATTTTGCATAAAGAAGCATTACTAATATTTATCAAATATTTATCTTGGTAATCTTCTTCATTTAAGTTGATTGCTTACCAAGTGACGTCAAGTCTTCCAGTTGAATTCCGTTTTTGCAATTTAGCATATCTGGATACAAATTAAATTTAATAAGTCATTAGTATAAAATGATTGTTAATAATTAACAGCTATTGATTGGTTTTTAATGTTGCGTCCTCATAAATTGTCTGAATGTTGCAACTAATAACTAAACAAGTAGTTTCCACGGTTACCGAAGTAATTAAAGGTACGGAATGTGGTTTTGACGAAAAAATTTCAAATGTTGTTTGTAATTTAAAAATTAAAAGGGAGTAGTAAGTCCGGCAATTAGTTGGAAATAACTTTGATTAAATATCAGACAATTATATTAACATTTATAAGTCAATATTATTTATAAATATTATCAAGTTTTAAGACCAATTATAATTTATTAAAAAGTTTTATCAAGTATTAATTAAAAAAGGTTATCGACAATAACGAATTTTTCTTCTTTTTATAATCGGCGCTTTTTGCTTGTTTTTTTAAGATACACTTTTTTTTATTTTATTTGTGAATTTTAGATTAGTAAAATTTTCTTCTCGTGAAAAACATTCAAGATCTCCAGTTCTTTATTATTTTCACCGATTTTAAAGCAATAGATATTCCGGTTCATGGTTTCAAATTAAAAAAAAAAGTGCAATTCTGGATCCTGAAAATAAAATTGCAGTGGATTTTTATAGTTCGAAATTGCTGCTCAAGTGAAAATAAATTACCAAAAAGCTAAAATCAAGTTTCCTTCAAAAAATATGGTTAGTTATTAAAATCATATTGGAGTAATAAAGTTTAAAAAAATTATCAAATGATTTTTTTGTCTAATTTTTATATAAACTATAGGTAAGTTTTTTTTTTTTTTTTTTGCTTTTTCCTTTTCATTTTTATAATTTTGAAGAAGTGTGACCAATGGTTTTTTACCTAAAAATAAAAAAACAAAAAATCTATATAAGGAATGAATAATAATGGAGTAAAAAAAACGAGTATATATAATTTGAATGTTGACAACGTGTTTGTATAAGTGTATGTGTATACAAAACAACTTCAAATGATACGAGTTCTCTTAGCAAAAACAATTTATTTTAAATAAACTTTTTCACGATAAAAACATTAAGAAACTTGTAAGTTTTATGTATGTTTGAAAAAAGTTTTTGTTGTAATAAATTTGTTTTGTTAACATAAGTAGATAATAATGTAGTATAATAAAAAAAATTTCTTGCTTAAGTTGCACAACTTAACGTCAATTGCACAACAAAGGTTGCGGAAATTTTGACAACAGAGCAACTGTTGTCGAAATAGATTTGATTCTATTTCCGCAAAGTACAACAAAAATGCACAGCTGATGTACAACATTTCATTAACTATTGGACCTCAAACTTAAGTAATCAACGCTACTTTTGAGTATAACCGATCGGGTTTTCCGAAAACGGGTGTATAAAAAAAGTTAATACAGGCATTCTTTTTATTTTTTCAACTTTTTTTTTTCTTTTAGTATTGTTAGAATGAAGTATTTTTTTTTCTTATTACTTTTTCTTAATTATTATTAATTACTTGAAGAAGACTGCAGGAAACTACTATTTAAGTTGGGTGTTATTTGGGAAATAAGAAAAAAGTTAATAAAAAAAAAGTTTATAGAAGATTTTAAATGCTGTCAGGAAAAGACAGACAAAAATCCAAAGCACTGATGTTTAAGGAAAAAGAAACTAGAAAAACAAGATTATTTTTTATGTAGAAGCAGCAGTTACAGTGAAAGAAAGTAGCAGTTACGGTGAAAGGGCTTTTCAATATTGAAATTCGAAAATTTAACAAGAGTTGATAGCTCACTTGAAAGGCAATTATTGTAGTATTGAATTTATTTTTACCATTTTAGTCCTTATTAGACTAAAATGGTAAAATTCTTCTCATTTTAACTCTTCCTCAATCTAATCACAGTTAGGTTCGCAACCAAAAACTTCACTATTTAAGTCTGGCTGATTTGTAGCAAAACCTCTCACTATTGGAACTTTCATTGCAACCATTGCAAGTTGACATCCTTGCGCTAAACATAAAAGTTGATTGGCTACTAGAAATTTTTCAATTTTTATAAAATGAAGGATAGAACCCATCCGTCTATATTCCCACAATATTTTTGTGTAAATTCTGATTAGTTTTCTTGCATTTTTTTAATGCAAGCTCAATGTAATAAACTGTAATTGTTTCTGGTTATTGCAATAAACCTAATTTCCAGAACTGAAAATTTCGTCTAAAATTTTTTATCTTCTTATCTAAACATTTTTATTTATTTATCAATTTTGAAGTGACACCTATTCGTCCAATAGAATAAAAAAATCTTTTTTCTACCTCAATTTATCTGATTGTTTTTACCTTTATGTTTATGATTTTAGCCGACTTTTTAACATTATTTTAAATGGTAATTTTTCGCGACGTTAGAATTCGCGACGTTAGAATTATCTTGATCTATTTCCGCATTTTTGAGTGTTTCGCGACGTTAGAATTATCTTGTTCTATCTCCGCATTTTTGAGTGAGATAAAACGATTTAAAAAAATAAAAACTTTATGAGACGGCATATAAAAACATTTTTATAACTAATGTTTTCTCCGTTACTTTTTTACTTATAACTTAGGTTTTAATATAGCAGAAAAACATTATTCAGAGGTACGCAACACAATAATCAATTTTTTTCAAAAAGTGGAGATACAACAAGATTCATTTTGTTTAAATTTCCGATAACTGCTTTTAAATCTTAAAAAGAATAAAGAAAATTAAAGAAACGTTATATCTCATAAAGATCAAAGAAAATAAAAGAAAAATTTATAAAGAACAAAGAAAATTAAATAAAATTTATAATTTATAAAAAAAAAAAAATTAAATAAAAATTCTTAGTTGAACAAAAAAAGGATTTATATTTGGTTTTCAAAAACAAAAAGTTCATTTAAGCAGCCGTGGTTCAGAGGTTAGAGCCAAGATATTCATGGTTCGAAGCTGGCTCTAGCCCAATAAGCGACATTGCTAAGGAAGGAGACTAAACTTTCTGGATAAATGCTCCTCCGCGGTGCTCTCTGATAAGACCGATAGGTCTTCTTGGAGCACCTAAATATCTATATAAAAAGAAAAAAAAAAAAAGTTTAAATTTTTAAGTTGGACAATGCTGTTAGACTTTACAGTTTATTAAATTTTATGCTCTGAAAACATGAGTATATGGAAACTTTTTGTAGGTTTGGGAATCTTTGCACAAATAATGTGCACTTTGCTATTTGTCCATTTTCACTCAGTAGAAAATGCTTTTAATCGACTAAATTACTTTCGCAAAACCATTATAAAACTTGTTTATTTTTTTTTGTTAGTTTGTAATATAATCTTATAAAAAGAAATAGTAAAAAAATATAATAAACAAAAATTTTGATTAAATCAATTTAAAATAGTATTTTGTTGATTTGAGTTATTTTGTTATGTATCATTTGTTTTTATATTTTGTCAAAGATTAGTTATTAGTATAAATACATAAATGATTATTATTTATTTAAAAGATAAGCAAAATAAAGTAATAAAACTGGTGTAACACAGTCACTTTTTTAGTGTGAGTTTTTAATGGTTGTTTTGTATTAACTTTTAATAAACATTGTTAAAAAAAAATTATGTTATGCAATCACATAGTTACAGGAACAATAAAATAAAATCAAATTCCAAAAGGTGTATAATGCGTTTATAGTTTTTGTCTCTAAGAAAAAAAAGCGTATTATCAAAATATTAAGACCAAAGTTTCAAAATTTTGATTTAATTTTTGAAAATGACAAAAGTATTCCATAAAAGAAAATAGTAAGAATGACAAATAGCCGTGACAGCAGCCGTGACAGAGTGGTTAAGGTTTTGGCTTAGAACCAAGAGGTTTTGTGGTTTGAGACCGGCTCTAACCCAATAAGTATCAACATTGTTGGGGTAACAATTAGCCAAAAATAACTTTTGTTTCATTGTCAGCTGTCACTGAAAGCTCAAAGCTGTCACAGAGAAAATATTGCATTCAAGAATAATGATCAAACTCAAAGGCAAAAACAACCATCAAGACTTTGTTAAATTATCAGCAATCAAAGTCAAAAGAATGCATTAGGTCAAATCCAACCTTTTATTTAATGTGAATTCATTTATTATTTATAAAAAATACAAAAACAATATTATATTGCTATATCATGGCTATGTATATTGGAATTATGAAACTAGGATCTGCGTGTAAAGCTGTAGGCTGTGACTGTAAGTTATAGGATGTAGACTGTGACTGCAGGCTGTAGGATATAGATGAATGTAGTTGTCAAAGAGTGTGAAGTACCCGGTGGGAAATCGGCTAGCGAATAGCTAGCTATAATCGTTACGATAAAGACAGGGATTTGGCCACGAGGATCGCTAACTTTTTTAAGTTAGCGAAAAGCTATCGATATTTGTAAAGATAAAGACAGCGATTTGGCTACGAGGACAGCTAGCTTAATGAGCTAAAGACTCACAGGCTATTGTAGCTACCGTCATATTGTAATAAAATCGCTATCAAATTTTTTTTTGTTAATTAGCTATCAACCAGCTATAGACTTGTAGATATTTTGTAGCTAGCTACAAAGCTACGATATGTAGCTAGCGACACATTGCTACTAAATCGCAATGTTTAAAGTTCAATTATTCTCATAATTATAATAGACTCAACACTAAAAATCGAACTTGTAAAGATGTTAGAGACAGTAAAGAACAAAATAAGAAAAAAAAAATCGCTTGAAAATCGCTGTAAAGCTAGCTAGTCGCTAGCTCATTTCCCACCGGGTAATTTAAAATTTGATAGTCTTTATATTGAGATTTACATCTCAATGTGATGCAATTTTAATGTTCACTAATTTTTTTTTAAACCATCTTTTCGGTTTCTTGAACTAAAAGTTTAATCTACCTATGAATATCAAATTTTCAAAACCATAAAAATTAACTTATTCTTTAAAAAAATATTATATAAAGTTAAGCATTTTTAAATATATATTTAAAGATACGTCGGTTTTTATACGTTTTTAAAATTGACATCACTTTTCTTAACATGAAAATATTTTTCAAGCAACTGAAGAAATTTATTGTTTTTGTTATCAATTATACTTTTGAAAAATCTGGATTTAAATTTTTTCCCTTTATATTCAAATGACTCTTGAAGCTTGATTTAAGAGCTTCAATTGCTTGATCATAGAAGAGCTTCAAGCGTGTTCGATTCATTTTAAATCTTAGAGTCTATAGTCTAATTTAATGCCTACATATTTGATACATAATGCCTAACATTATTAAGCATTATATTTCAACTTCAGGTTGATGTATTTAGATAAAAGCAATTTGAATGCAGTTAATCCTGCCTCCATCCAGAGCAAAAAAAGATATCTTTTAAATATTTTCTTTCTTTTATTTACCCAAATGATTTTTTTAAATTTAAAACAATCAGAAATTTTATTCTTTATTTCAAGTTAAAGCAATCAGGAAATTAAGTTTTATTGCGTTACGAATTCACAGTCATTATTTTATTACTAAAACTTGATGATTCGATGAACAGGTTATTACTAAAATCAGTCTAAATTTTTTAATAAAAATTTAATTAAAGACTTTTACAACTAAAAATTAAAGTTTTTTAAAAGTGATTTAAGCGTTATATAATCAGGAAAAATCCAGAAATATTTTTTTCATTTTTTATATACCTATGATGTTTGTAATTTTTGCATGTTTTATCATTTAAGGTGCTTGATAATAAAA